GGGGTACTGTTCTTAGAAATCGATGTGACAGTAAAGTTACTAGCAAGCTGCTCCTTGTCGGTTACGATCTTTTCCCCAGAACTGCGCTGCTGCGATGCAGGCCTATAATACATATAAATTTTAGTATTCAAGTGACTCCTCGTCGAAACAAGCACCTATCAGCCAAGCTATCTGCAACCCATTTCGCTCTTTTCAGAGAGACTTCCTTGACTGGAAACATTGATTCTTGCCTCGGATGGGAAGGCTCTAGTAGTTCAGGTCTAAACAAGATCTTTATAAGTTCAAAATATCGAAAGAATAGCTATTCAGTAGAATGCTAAGACAAAGTAGAAAGTAACTTTCCTAACATTTAAAGAAACTATCAAACGACAAGAAAACAAATTAGCAACAAACCTTGAAGGGCTTACATCTGGCACTGCTGTAGGAAACACTCTTCCGAAGACATTGCTGCGACGTGAGCGAGGTCTAAATTATGGAGACAGTGTAAGCAAATCAATAGAAAACCCTCTTATAGCTAGAAACCTTGACGGGACTGCCACTGGCACTGCTGTGGAAAACCCACTGAAAACATTGCTGCGACGTGAGCGAGGCCTAAATCACCCAAACATGGTCTTCGCAAAAAAAGCTGATTACAAAACAAAAAGTTACCTTTTCGGTGGAATGGATGGTGTGACTGGTGCCGAAGTATTATTTCCACTTTGCTGGACTTGTTGATCACTCATAGCCCTATGAGCGGTCCCACTGCGTTGTTTACTGGAAGATCTCAAGTTAAGGGTAATTAAATTATAAGAAAAAACCGTGACCTTCGTTTTCACTCTAAGTTGTCGAATGAAAAAAAAAACAAAGAAAAAACATGGACCCGCCTATCTTCTAATGTGTTGCGAGACCTGGAGATCACTGAGGATTCAGAGGGAAAGGCTAATTCAAGAGCTTCTTTGAGTAGAAGAGCACCATCACCAAGTTCATTGCGGGAGCGTTTAATATGGGGACTGAAAACTGACTAATGGGTTGGACTGATATTAGCAGAAAACTCTTAGGAGTTTTTTTTTTAAGAACTAGAATAAACATCAAAAGACACCTTGACGGTGATTTCTCCAATTCCGCATTGGTTTTTCTCAAGCTGCTTGACTTTTTCTGGCCTTGGCTCCGTTCTCCACCTAA